TCTTTTTTTAAAAAAAAAAAATTATAAAAGTATCTGAACAAAAACATAAACTAATAACTTCCACACTCATTCTTAAATTAATTCATAAAAAAAAAAAAACATTGTGACCCATAAAGTCTGAAAGTAAATTATAAATGATTAGAAAATTAAATACAGCAGTTATTATATATAAAAACTGTGAAAAAAGTGGTTCACTGTCAAAAAATTAGTAACAAGGAGATACCAGTGTTTTTTTTTTTTTTGTTTTTTTAATGCTTGAGCAGGAAAAAATTGTACTATTCATTTTTTTATATTTTATTTCTTCAATGTTACATTCCTGATTCTTACTTTTAAAAGTAACAAATATATATTGCTATAATATATAAGTACAAATAATTTAGTTTTTTTAACCATAACAAAGTTAATAAAACTAGAGAAAAATAAAAGAAATTGGCCAATGAAATATTTTTAAAATAACAAGTCAAAGAGATAATAAACAATGGTTGTCACACGTGCAGACTACAATCCCTCCTCTTCTCTCCATGTCTCCTTCCTCTCTTTACTCCTATTGAACCCATTTTCTCCATAGCAACACCAAAAGCTTGAAAGAACTTCTGCTTATCTTTCCCAAGCTCCTGAACCAGAGGCTTGGTTCTTGGGTCCAAAAACAAGGCTTGGTCTGATGCCAAAAGTCCCATTTTGGCACCCAAGTTTGCATAATAAGCGTGGTCAAACAAGAATGGGGTGGTGACATCAAATGGTGCAACAACATCAGCACTGCCTCCAAAACGAGGGCATGACATTCTTAGTTCTTTTAGCAATCTTGGATCAATTGCAGGGTCCGGTTGCTTGGTGCCTCGGAAATCATATAGTCTGTTAACAAATTCTTTGCAGTGTGCAAAACCAATTGTATGTGCACCAGAGAGGACGACAAGATCATTGATGGTTAAACCTTTGGAACTGAAGAGCTTGATCAATTGATCAACTGTTGAATTTGATTGTGGAAGGTTGGATTTAACCCTTGATGCTATTGATATCTTTCCATCCCATCTTCCTTTCTTGACTTGATAATAAGGCCCTCCAGCCTGCAAATTCAAAAAATTACAGTTTTTTCAATAAAAATTTAATTAAGTGATATTTAATAACAATACAATCAATACCGTAACTTTTTAATAAGTGTACATAAAACGCACATTTCAACTTAAATTCATACTCTCATAAAAATAAGCGAAAATATTAACAATTTAATCAAAAAATTGATTCATTTACAAAATTTAAATTAATTTAGCTGTCAAAATCATTAAATATATATATATATAGATAATCCCTATACTTTCTGAAGCTGGAGAACTAAGAACTTCATTGAGATTTCCTTTTCTTAGCTAGATGCTTTTACCAAAGGATTATATTTAATGCAGAATAATATTTGCATAGAGATTTGTGCAAGGATAGTAATAGTAATGAATTATTGCCATTAATCTAATAAATATTGGTTGGCATGTTCTTGACTGGAGGCTAGGATAGTTTATCTTTGTTTGCTCAATAATCAACAATCAAGAACAAAAGCAATATGACAAGTTTAACAGAAGATTTTTGTTCTTAAGGACAAAAATTTGAATAAAAGACAAAACAGGCATATATAAGTACATCTTGATTTTTTCTATCATGATCTGCAGAAATGGGTAAACACCATTTCTCCCAACTTCCTACATTGGGATCTTGTTAAACATGTTTGTGCTTGCTGTAATAAATAAATTACAATTCTTAAAAAAATAAGTAAATTACATAGTGCTTTCAGTGCATATGTCCCATCTTCAAACAGTTAGTGATGGATCCCACTTTGTGTATGAATTCAAATATGTTAAATCATGTCTTGAAATTGTACACTCAGCGGCAGCATATAACTCAAAAGACAATGTATAGTATAGTGCACATATATATACTTCCACATAAACATACAACTTAACAGAAAAAAATTTTTTAGTGGATTTTCTTGTCAGAACAATGCCTTCTTCAAAATAATAAATGGATATAAGCCCAGAAGAAGAATAACAATGGAAAAAAACAAGAAGAAAGAACAAAAACAAAATGACACATCAGATTTGGCACTAGCATCAGCCAACTCCTTGGAAGATTCTTTGTAGCAAATCAATTCTCTGATCTCTTAGTTTCTTAACTAGTTCTATATATGTTTACTAATTAATTTGCACATAAAACAAACAAACAAACAAACAATCAACAGACAAAAAAATAGATTTAAGAAATGAAGAACCCTGACAAGTTTAATCACAATTTTCTGGGTAGAAGATCATAGTTTAGGAAATCAGTAAAGTTGAAAAAATTAATTTAAGAAAAAAAAAAAAAAAGAGTACTAACCAAATGGACAAAATCTCTAGCTGCAATGGCGAGAATATCTGAACAAGACACAACCCCAGGGCACTTACTCTCCAACACAGCCTTTGCCTGTCTTACAATCTCAAACCCTTCCCCTCTCAATTCCTTGTTATCCTCTGCATCTTTCTCTGTCAACTCCTTGCTTCCCGCCTTTGCTGCTATCAATATTGAGCCATCACAACCCTGCAACCACATCCAATTAAAGGCATATATAACCTAATGCAGGGAAATGAGAGATTAGAAGGATGTAGAATTAGTACATCGACGAAGCAGTCATGGAAAAAGAGACGAATTGTGGCAGGGCCTGAAACTGGAGCTTCCTTGAAGTGTTGGGAGGTGAGTGAAGCGATTAGCTGCTCCACCTGAGGACATGACTTAGCATAGTAATCGACTATGAGTTCACGGCGGCGGCGGCCGGCGGGTTTGGAGAGAGAGAGAGAGAATGAGAGCAAGAGAGTAACGGTGAGTAAAGAAGGAATGGAAGGAGGCATGATAATGAGGCAGCTGAGGACAAACCGGGTAATACAATTTAGTTAGTTATAGAGGAAAGGAGGGGAATATATGTACACACATGTACACGAATATATGGATACACACATACGTGTATATATAAAAGTTGGTTATGTGGTGGGACTGACTGCATAGATTGGAAGAAGAGAATCCACATCCAACACCCGTGAAACTCAAAACTCTCTTTTCAATAAAGATAAATATATATGTGTATGTGTGTGTATATATAGGCTTTCTTTTCCAGTAAGATATAAATAATAATATAACTCATAACGGAATCTGATTTAACAGAAAATTTTCAATTAAGGGGACAAGTATGCAGTGGCTGTTAGTTTTCTTTTTAGGGTACAGGGAGACTGTGTTTTTTGTATGTCTCTCTATAAAATGTGCCAACTGACGGCGGGCAATTAACTAATAAGATGGATTGTAATTTGTATAAAAATATTTACTTAAACTTTTTTTCCTGTTAATTTTTTTTTTCCTACCGTTTGTGGCGTTTATAGCCATTAGACAAAAAGTTTGCAAATCACACTTCCATCTATCTTATGGGGAAGGTTCAGGAGAAGTAGAAGCAAGCTAAGGAAGTTATAGAGAGAGAGAGAGAGAGAAAAAGAACGTGCAACAACAGCTTAATACTGCCCCCCAGAGGTGGCAGCACCCGAAACTCGGGACATGGAAGTGCAATGTGGATGGGACGGACAAGTCTTTGGTACGCAAGCAGGAGCAGGGTACGGTGCAATCGTCCGTGATTCAGGTGGCAACGTGATGCCTATCTTCTTGGGTAGATTGTCAGGATGTCGTTCGCCTTATCAGGCGGAATCGATGGAGTGTTGGTAAGGCCTTGCAATACATACATGATCACGTTCAGAAACCCAGAACGGTAGAGATTGACGCCCAATTAGGAACGTAGCTCTCAAATGGGTTAGAATAACGTATAATTAATTACGGGAATGAAAATTGGCCATTTTCAAAAAATCAAAATAAAAAACAAGTGATTTATATATATATATATATATATATACATATATATCTGAATTATAGTAAAGGCACAAACATAAATGGCGTGCATGTGCAATAAGTCACGCGTCACCTTATTTCATTTTGACTTTAAATTATACCACATCTCCATCTTCATTCTTCGGTAATGGAAGCCTGCCTTTTTCAGTCTCTACTCTCAATTGGCTTTTCTGTACTATTTGAGCTTTATATCATGTGAAACCATTTTACCATAAAGTTTTCCAAGGTTTAATTTTCTACGGTTAAACTGTATTTTAGCGAGACAACAAAGTTATAAATATTTAACAAGATATAAAAACTACTAAGATATTAAAATAAACTTTGTTTATTAGAACCTCTTTGTGACACATTGCGGCCGCGTTGATTAATTTACTTTTTAGCATGCAAACTTCTGATCAATTGCAGTAAACCCCCATTGTCCTACCACTTATTTTTTACACCATCATATTTACTTTCTTTTATATAAACAATGTGTCCAAAAAAATAGATTAAAAAAGTGGTACATAGTTGACAATTAAAAATGTTTGGTATTAACTACATATATTCAGAATATGTAATGAGTTAAATAAATATATAGAATGTGTGCACCTAATTTAGATTTTGTAATAAGTAATAGATTCTTAATCATGTGTGAATCATCAATTATTTAAATTACAACTAATTTTTTATATAAAAATTATCAATAAAAATAAATTATATATATAGATCAATAAAAAATTTAACAATTATCAAACTCGTAATATTTAAATAAAATATATAAATTTTAATTATTATATTACTCTATTAGTTATATATGTATTTACACTTTCTACTATTGATTTATTGTTAAATATTTTTAAAAATAAAATAATAATATCGTTTATCAATCATATTATAGTAATATTCTAAATAAGAGAAGTTAGAAGTTCATACTTTATTATATTATTTCATGCTTCACCTTTTTTTACAACTAAAAAATTGTTAAAATATTAATTTAGTTTATATATTAATTTAAAATATTTAGATTAATCAAAATACTATTTTTTTTATAATTTTAATTCTCATACATTTAATTTTTTTTTATAATTTAGTCTCTAACTATTATGCACATTAAAATCGTTAATAATAACGTTATAAAAATTCAAATTGCACACATATCACATTTTAATTAGATTAATATAAATATTTATTGTTATATAATAAAATATGTAAATTTAAAATAAATATTTACTAAACCAAAAGTAATATATATTTAACGTGAACTATATACCATTTCTATTAAGTGTTAATATACATTAATGTTCGGGAGTAAATCAAATTTTTTTTGAAAATATAATGATTAAAATTATAAAAAAAAATTAATTCAGGGACCATTTGAATATTTTAAAATATTAGAGGGATCAGTTTAATGTTTTAGCCATTGAAAAACTTCTGACTAAATTTTCTTCATAAATTTTTAAAAATACTAAAAGTTTTCTAATAATTATTTTCCAAATTTTGATTGAAGAACATTGAAGATAGCAGTCAAAACGGTGCGGTTCGTCGCTGCTCCAACTTCCTATTTCTGCCAAGCAAAAATAAGTAAATAATAAATAAACAAATTCGCTATACGTTGCCGTTTGAATGGAAGCAGGTAAGGGATTTCGCCCTCACATCGAAGTCTGGTGTTGCTGTGTCTACATTGCTAATTTGCTTGACCCTCCAACTTCAAAACCCTTGCAACTGGTTCTGAAACTCCGACCAATCTGCGCAAGCAACGCTCTTGTATAGAGAAAGGAAGCATCAGTAGTTACCATGTACTCTCATACACTTGCAAATCTTACTATATATGAACATATATGTTCCTCTCAGGAAAAACGAGTTACTCATTTTCTTCCATTTTCGCTCTCAGCTCTCGCTCTCGTTTTCTTCAAGGCTGCCACCAAATGACGGACCTCTCAGAGGAGGCCAGGCAAATCGAGAAGCTTTACGAGTTTGGAGAGAGGCTCAATGAAGCCAAGGACAAGTCTCAGGTCTCCCTTACTTCTTTTTTCTAGGGTTTTGTCGTGTCTTCTTCTTCAGTATATTTTTAAGTTACGGTGAGACTTGTGTCTTTATTGTTTGTGTGTGTCTTTTCGGATTTTATTGTTGCAGAATGTGGCGGATTACGAGGGGATTATCGCCGCCGCAAATACGAGCATTAAGGCCAAGCAACTGGCGGCTCAGCTCATTCCTCGCTTCTTCAAGTTCTTCCCTGACCTTTCTTCCCGTGCTGTTAACGCTCATATCGATTTGATAGAAGAGGAGGAGCTCGGGGTCAGTCCCATCCCTCTCATACACACGGTCACACACCTATGTATATTAGTGAAAATGAGCCTGTTTGCTGATGTGCAATCAAGTTGGAAGTTTCTTAATGGAAGAATTTAGCTAATTCCTTTGCAATCTAGTTAACAAGAGAATTTTAGTTCTATATTCTGAAATTTATTCTGTACTTTTCTTTTTAATTTTTACACTTAACTTGGAAAATAGGTCCGTGTGCAAGCCATAAGGGGACTTCCCCTTTTCTGCAAGGATACACCGGAATATTTGTCTAAAATTGTGGACATTCTTGTGCAAGTTTTAGCTTCTGGTAAGTTTTGTGAAATAGTTTTTGTAAGGAATGTAGGTTTTGTGAACTTGATGGCTGTTGCTTTTGAGGTTTTTTTTTCTGTATTAATACTATGATATTGGATTTTCCTTGATGTGCTTAG